TATCTACTTCCATTTGCCTGCAGATTTGCACTATGAGAATCAATTTCAGTTCTTTGCTAGCAACACTATATTTTTCACCTGCAACTTATTTTTGTGAAAAATTACAGTTGTATTGTTCAAATGGTAAAGTTCTGACTCCTAACTCATCATCAACCAACTCACAGCCATGACCCCTGACTTTGGGTAGGGAATAGATTTTCATAGATTGCAGGTATTGACATATTTTTATTGACAATGTTATAAATGTCAACATCAGCTATTAACACTGCATTGTCCTTTACTGTATATAAAGTATTTGCAATTGAAGTTAAATTATTTAAATCCAAAAGGATTCTCTACTACTACTATTACTAAAAGTAGCAACAACAACAACTAATGTAATTCTTTTGCTGATTACCAAACTCTCCTTTACCTCTATGTTCCTTTGGAGTGGACTTATTTTCCAGTGAATTAAAACTCTTAAATACATATAATGGGCAAACCTTGAAAACAAAATCAATTTATTGTCACTAAAGGATGAAATAGCGGTCAAGGAGGCTTTCTCTGAGACAGCCATAAAATCATATATAGGAAAGGCATATATCTTAGGGTCTAATCATCAGTTTTCTCTGAACAGATGAATCAGAACAGCCACATCATCCTGTGTGGTCAAATTGCTCAGTACAACAAAGATGTGCCTTATCCTCCTCCATTACCCCCTGCTGTAGAAGCAATCCTGAAAGAAAGAAACATCACAAGGTGTGTTCTACCCTTTCTTTCCCCTTATTACCAGATTCAAGGGGTTTAAAGATCATAAATATAAAAGAAATATATTGTTCTTCACATATAATTTTTATTTATTAAGTAAAACTTGAAAATACACATTTTAAGCTAGTTCAGTATTTAGGTGTTGGTTAAACTAGCTCCCTGGCAGAAACTTAAAAAAAAAAAGACCATCTGTTCTATCAATCTTTTCCAAGTCTTTTAGCAAGCGATAGAAACTCAATCACATTGGCTTAAGTGCAAAGGAAATTTATTGGCTCATATATCTGAGAAGCCCAATATTAGTACAGTACTGGCTTAGATTTGGCTGGATAGAGTTTGCATAGCAGTGTCACGATTCAGTTTTTCTCCACCTTGGGGCTGTGTTTCCTTCTGGGTTAGTTCTGTTTCTTTGCAGCCTCTGCTCTTGCAGCAGCAAGAAGGAGGATGACTGTTATCTCTAGTCTTATATTTTACCAGGTTAACAGTCCAAGCAAAAAGAGAACAACTCTCTCCTTGCAGTTTTATCAAGTCCCAAAGCGATACTTATTGGCTCAGACAGGCCTGGCTTTGATCACATGAGGGTGGGGAAAGAATATTACTCACAAAGCCAAGTCACAGTGCTATTACCATACAGGATTTGTAGATGCTGGGCAGGCGAAACAATAGAAGTCCACTACACTTATACCTGTAACTACAACTAAAACTGGATCTGACCAGACTGTGTGATGAAGTCCTAATGTTTGAAAGATGAACAGATACCAGAGTTCTAGAATAATTTGATTTTAGATTCTTTTACTCTCACACTAGTCTCTGATCATTATCCTTTTCTTTTCCACTACAGAGAAAGATTTCTGGTGTTAAATTATAAGGACAAATTTGAGTCTGGTATTCTACAGCTGAGTCAATGGTTTAAAGAAGGAAAGCTAAAGGTAGAACTTGCTTCTTTTCTTTATCAATATCTCATTCTTCTTGCTGTTTGATAAACTTTTGTATTGTTTGAATTTATTATAGCAAATGTACTGGTTGCATGATAAAAATTCCTACAAAAGTGCTCTAAATATTATAAATTAACTTCACCTCCCAGGTGAATATAACTTTCTGGTTGAGAAACCCTCTTCTTTATTCTCTTTATCTAAAATTTTATTAACCTTTACTTTTCTTAGATTATAAGAGCAATAGTTTTTTTTCCTCCAAATCGTAATATTCCTTAATTAACCAATATTCATAGAATGCTACATGTTAGAAGTTGTCCTTTCTCAAAAATCTTATAAATACCTCGTAGCACCCCTACCTCTCCACTACCATACTTCTTTCCTGCCTTCCCTGGACATTCTGATATATCTCTTGGTTGTTGGTTGAAAATCAGGAGTTACTATTCTGGGGTCCAAAGACCCTGACCTAGCATGTTCTTGAAACCTGCAGATGATAGGCAAAGCTGTGTGTGTGCTTTTGTAATTTGTTGTTTTGAAAAGATGGTATGTAGCTTGTTCTGTTACTAATTGAAGATTAGGCAATGGGAAATAGGATTTTATTTTTAAAAATCTATTGATAGGAAACCTTTCTGGGCTACCTACATGAATGAAGAATATCTATTTTTAGACAAAAAGTTCTGCTTCTGCAAAATGGAAACCATTAAGTATGTAAAGATGAATATTAACTATAGCTATTTTGATTTCCAGATCAAAGAAACTATGATAAACGGATTGGAAAATATGGGAGGTAAGATGAATGTAGATTTATTTATTATATACATGTGCTCAGCACAAATAATCCCTTTTTTCTTTTAATTCTACTTCTTTGGTGTTTTTTCTTTTTAAATCATTTATTTCCTATAAAACTGTCCTATAGTTTTCCTTAAAGATCTTAATCAAACTCCATTAAAGTTCAATTTAGTGGTATTTATGAGGTATTTTCACATTTCAAATCATAAGGTATTTCTTTGTTTTCTCAAACAGCTTATGAGAAGTAAGACTCACAAAAGTCTTTTAACCTCTAGGTAACTTTTCAGATTGAATTGTTCTAAGGCACCATAGAAAATATTAAATTTTCAATATTTAGGGGATTTTTTTTGCCTACCATACACAGATTCCAACATTCTCTTTTGTTTGTTTTAAATAAAGAAGGTTAATCAAGCTGATTTTTTTCTTTCTCAGAAAAATAATTTAATATGTTTTGTTAATACGTTTACTAAACAGAAATATCAATTTCACTTACTTTTTTGGCATACAGATGTGTATTTTACTTAGTAAAACTTTATGATTAGGTTTCTAATATTTTTAACTGTTATTTAAATACTGTTTTGGCTGACATTTTATCTTCATACTTATTTGCCTCTAGTCTTCAGATGCTGTAAACAGTGAACATTGATGTAGACACCAATTAAACATTTCTAGTTTGGGTAAAAACAATTT